CCCCCTGCTGGGCTCCAGCAATCCTACCACCTCAGCCTTCCGAGTAGCCGGAATTACAGGCATGCGCTACCACACCCGGCTGATTTCTTTTTTTTTTTGAGTTGGAGTCTCACTCTGCCCAGATTGGAGTGCAGTGGCACGCTCCCGGCCACCGCAACCTCGACCTGCTGGGCTCTGGCGATCCTTCCGCCTCAGCCTTCCAAGTAGCTGGAACTACAGGCGCGCACTACCACACCCGGCTAATTTTTTTATTTTATTGTAAAGATGAGGTCTCGCCAAGTTGCCCAGGCAAGTCTCGAACCCGCGGGCTCAGGCAATCCACTCACCTCAGCCTCCCAAGGCACAGGATTACAGGCTGAGCCACCAAGCCCGGCTAGTAATTGTTTTATAATAAAGAATTTGACTGGCCTTTGTCCCTGGTTCCTGGGAAGGAAACTCTTTACCCTTGGAATTTCTTGAGTGATGGGAGTGTCTTTGTCATTTGTGGTAGGGCCTGATAGTTTTTGCAAATGACATGACTCATGGTGAAACCCTAGACGGCTTCAAGATGAGGCTGGTCTTACCTAGCCATTTGGTTAGAGTGTTAGGACTTTGAGCCATGTAATAGCAGGCCAAACTCTCAACCTCTGGGGAGGCAAGGAGGACTAGAGATTGAGTTCAGTCATGTAGCCAGTGATGCAAACGATCATGCCTTTGTAATGAAGCCTGATAAAAACTCTAGGCATGGAAGCTCAGTGGAGCTTCCTGGTTGGTGAAGATATTGATGTGCTGGGAAGGTGACTTGCCCTGATTCCACAAGGAGAGAGCATGGAAATTCTGCATTTGGGACCCTATGTATTTCTTTATTTGGTTGGTCCTGGTTTGTGTCCCCTACAGTAAGACTGCAAGTTATTCTGAGTTCTCTGAGTTGCTCTGGTGAATTATCAAGCCTGAGGGGTTGTGGAAATCCCCAAATTTATAGCCAGTTAGAAGTGCAGATCAACTGGGGACCTCTGAACTCATGGATGGCATCTGAAGGGAGGGCAGTCTTGTTGAGGACTGTGCCCTTAATGTGTGGGAGTGTGGGATCTGCACTCACTCTGGGTGGTTAAGGTAGAAACTGAATTACAGTATTAACGATAATGTAATCACTGACTGTTGATAGAACATTGTGATATCACTTCATTGGAAGGATAGGGAAATTGAAAGGGAGAGTGGGAGTTTTCATCAACTATAATAAGTTAATAAGTAATATAAAAGTTGATCAATCAGGAGATAACAGAACAAAGGATTTAGAACATGGTTAGAACCCAAGAAAACATAGCTGTAAGCAATAAAAGCAGTTGCTGTGGAGGTGGAACAGGGGGGCACAGGAGCATGGGCTAAGGTAGTGCTGTATTTCGGTTTAAACCTTTTATAACTATTTTTCAAACTGCACATATATTACGTTGATATAAAAAATCAATTGAAAAAAGAAGGGAGCTTGACTGCAAGGTCTCAATAGTTCACCTCTTTCAGAGGTCAAGTTCATCAGGAAAAAGACTTGAATGTTGAGGGGTGTGTGTGTGCGCGTGCACGTGTGTGGTATTTTGGGGGATGTTCTCGAAGTGAAAGAAGCAGAATTGAGGAGAGGGGAAAGTCGAACTGTGATGCAGGCATAGCACAGGTTATGTCTGATGCCACTGGCATCCCTGAACCCAGGATGCCCCTTAAGAAATGCCTAAACCAGGTAAGGAAGACCAAATTTTGTCCCTGATTGTGGACCAGCCATTAGATATGTCCTGCCCAGGGTAGCAAGGCAGTTCCTTTTGGCTGAGGACAGTTACTAGAAGAGACTCAGTCCTGAGCTGACAGCACATAACACTCCTGGTAAGAGAGGATTGAATGAGAACCTCTGTGCTGGAAGGGAGAATCTGGCTGATGCACTAGTAGTGTCCACTACAAACTTCAAACACTAGAGAATTTGGAAAAGGAAGATTTAGATATCTATTAGGCAGACTTCAGAATCTCTAGATTCTCATCAATAACTCAAAAGCAACAGATGCTGGAGAGGATGCAGGGAAAAGGGAACACTTCTACACCACTGGTGGGAGTGTAAACTAGTACAACCTCTGTGGAAAACAGTGTGGTGATTCCTAAAAGAGCTAAAAATCGACCTTTCATACGATCCCGCAGTCCCCCTACAGGGAATATTCCCGGAGGAACTCACATCACTCTATGAGAAAGGTACCTGCACACGCATGTTTATTGCAGCATTGTTCACAATAGAACCAACTGTGCTGCCCATTAAACAGGGACTGGATTTTTTTAAATGTGGTACATATACAATGGAATATTATGCAGCCATAGAAAAGGACAAAATTATGAACTTCACAGCAGCTTCGAGCTATAATCTATAATACTGAGTAATCTATCACAGAAACAAAAAACTGAGTATCACATGTTCTTACTCATAAGTGGACCTTGAACAATTATCATAATACTATAAGAAAATGATTGGTAGTAGTGGGAAACTGCCAGGGGAGTAGGAGGTGGGATTGGCAGTAGTGGGAAACTGTCAAGGGAGGTGGGTACACACCTCATCAACAAGGGTACCTGCATAATGAACTTATACTTAACTCTGAATTGTACTCCACAACTTTAAAATTAAAATGTTTTAAAAAAAATTCTAGAGGCAGAATACTGAGTGACTTTACCATCGTTTAATTCTTGAGCCTATTCTTATTAAGGGATTTTAAGCCCCTAATCTGAGAAATCTGATATTGCCATCAGTTCATTACTAAATGTATAGTTATGCTTCACTTAATGACAGGATGCATGCTGACAACCGTGTTAAGCAGTTTCCTCGTTGTGCAAACATCACGAGTGTATTTACAGAAACCCAGATGGCACGGTGTACTCCACACCTAGACTATGTGGTATTGCCTGTTGCTTCTAGCTAGAAACCTGCACAGAATGTTTCTGTACTGAATACCGCAGACCATTATAACACAGTGGTATTTGTGTATGTAAACGTAGAAAAAGGTATGGTAAAAATGTGGTACAAAAGACACCATTAAAAAAAAGGCCCATATTGTGACTGGATCTTGCAGGACTGGAAGTTTCTCTGGGTGAGCCAGTGAGTGAGTGGTGAGTGAATGTGAAGGCCTAGGACATTACTGTGTACGACTGTAGACTGTATAAGTACTGTACACTCAGGTTACACTAAACTTATTAAAAATATGTTTCTTTAAAATCACTTCTTCATAGGTTACTGAAACTTTATATTATAAACTTTTAAATTTTAAACTTTTTGACTCTTTTGTAATAACATTAGCTACAAACACATGGTATAGCTGTACAAAAATATTTTCTTTATGTCCTTATTCTTGAGCTTTTTTCTATATTTAAAATTTTTTATTTTATTTTTTTACTTTTTAAGCTTGTTTGTTAAAAACTAAGACACACAAACACACACATTGGCCTAGGCCAATATTGCTGTCTTCCACCTCCACATCTTGCCCACTGGAAGATCTTCGGGGCAGTAACATGCATGGAGCTGTCATCTCCTATGTTAACGATGCCTTCTTCTAGAATACCTCCTGGAAGACCTGCCTGAGGCTGTTTTACAGTTCATGCTTGTTTTTTATAAGTAGGAGATCACTCCAAAATATAATAAAAGGTATAGTATAGTATATACATAAAGCCGTAGTGTAATTAATTATCATCATTATCAAGTGTTATGCACTGTACATAATGGTATGCAGCATGCTTTTCTACGACTGGCAGAGCAGAAGGTTTGTTTATACCAGCGTCACCATAAACACGTGAGTAATGTGTTGCACTATAATGTTATGACAGCTATGACGTCACTAGGCAATAGGAGTTTTCCAGCCTCAGTATAATCTTATTGAGGTGAGCACTGCTATATTTGCAGTCCATTGTTGACCGAAATGTCGTTAAACAGCTCATGACTATATGTATATGGTTTGCTTGCTCCACAGTTGTAAGCTTAAACAGAATAATCTCGGTATCAAAGGCTTTGTAAATAGATCGGTCAGTGGCTAACAGGTGTTAGTGTAGGAGAGGGTAAGATATTGTACTTGTAAAGTGAAGAACATTGAGAAACTGGGTTCACAGGAAAGCAATCTAAGTCTTACGTTCTTGCAATTAGTAATTCCAACTAAATACTGAGCATCATTTACTCAGCAAACATCTACTGAGCACCTACCTTGTGCGTGTCATGTCGCAGGGAACCTAGAATCTGATACAAGAATTCCGATATGTAGATGTAACAAAATATAATTCAAAATATAGAATGGTAATGTGCCTTAAGACATGAGAATGTGTTAAACGCCATGGGAGTTTAGAAAAGAGAAAGTTTTCTTTTGCATGAAGTGATCTGGAATAGAGGCGTTGGTAGCACGTCCACAAGGCTTTGGCAGAAGAGGGCAGGAGGTGAGGGAGAATCTGGGATCTTTTCTAAAAATTGTATTAAAAAATAATAATTATTTTATTTTATTATAGAGATGTGGGGTACAAGTAAGGGCTAACTGCACAAGTAGGCGGCAGGCAGGTGAAATTTGGGCCTCCAACTGGCCCTCACTTCCCCTTGTTTAGGACCAGGTACCCTTTGTGTTATTACATGTTCCCCCCCCTTCCCTTCCTCCCCTGGCAGTGCCCAGTGACTGCTGCTCCCTCCCTTGTGCTAATGTGACTTGTGTTCAGGGTCCACTTATGAGTGAGACCACACGGTATTCAGTTCTTTGTTTCCGTGACAGATTAAGTATGATGGTCTCCAACTCCATCCAGTTTTCTGTGAAGTTCATGGTTTTGTTCTTCTTTATGGCGTGTAATACTCCATTGTGCGTGTGTATCACATTTTCTCTCTCCAGTCCACTTTTGATGGGCAGTGGGGTTGGGTCCATGTTTTTGCTGCTGTGAATAGTGCAACTATAAATTTGCATGTGCAGGTGGGGTTTTTTTTGGTTGTTTGTTTTATACAACATTTGTGTTTCTTTGGGTATATTCCCAGGAGAGGTATTGCTGGGTCAAATGGAAGGTCAATTTTTAGTTCTTTTAGTAATTTTTACCACACTGCTTTCCATAGAAGTTTAACTCCCACCAACAGTGTAGAAGTACTCCCTTTTCTCCACACCCTCACCAGTATTCATTGTTTTTGATTTATCGATGAGAACCATCCTTACTGGAGTTAGGTGGTGGTTTTGCATTTTCTCATTGTGGTTTTGATTTGCATTTTTCTGATGGTTAGTGAGGCTGAGCATTTTTTCAGGTATGACTGCTTATATATCTTCTTTTGAGAGATGTCCATTCACGTCCTTTGCCCACTTTTAGATAGGGTTTTCTTTCTTTCAGCTTGTTTGATTCTGGATGTTGGGCCTTTGTCAGACACATAATTAGCAAATATTTTTTCCCATTATGTGGGTTGTCTCCCCACTTTCTTTCTTTTTTTTTTTTTTGAGTTGGAGTCTTACTCTGTCACCCAGATTGGAGTGCAGTGGCCGCTACCCACCACCGCAGCCTTGACCTGCTGGGCTCCAGCGATCCTTCCGTCTCAGCCTTTCCAAGTAGCTGGAACTACAGACGCGCGCTACCACACCCGGCAAATTTTTTGATTTATTGTAGAGATGAGGTCTTGACAAGTTGCCCAGCTGGGTCTCGAACCCACGGGCTCAGGCAATCCACTCACCTCAGCCTCCCAAAGCATGGGATTACAGGCTGAGCCACCTAGCCCGGCTCCCCACTCTCTTGATGGTTTCTTTTGCTACGCAAAAGCTTTTCAGTTTGATGAGGTCCCACTTGTCTATCTTATCTTTTATGGTATTCATTTTTGGGGATTTGATCAAGAATTGGTTGCCTGCTCCAGTGTGCATAAGAGTGTTTTCTGCGTTTTCTTTTACTATTCTTATAGTTTGAGGTTTTACGTTTAGGTCTTTGATCCATTTAGAGTTCATTTATTTTATATGACGATACGTAGGGGTCCTGTTTCATTCTTCTGCATGTGATCAGCCAGTTTTCCCAACACCGTTTGCTAAATATGGTCTCTTTTCCCCAGTAGCTGTGGCTTTGTCAAAGGTGAGTTGGTTGAGAGATCGAGTTTTTGCTTCCATAGTCTCTGTCCTGTTCCATTGGTCTATGCGTCTATTCTTGTACCAGTACTAAGCTGTTTTGGTTACTGTAGCCTTGTAGTAAAGTTTAAAATCTGAAAGTGTGATACCTCCCATTTTGTTCTTTTTGGAGAGAGGAGAAAAGGTTATCACAGAGAAGGAGGAGGAGTAAATTGGAATAATTAGAATATGTTTTCCCATAACATGTGAAACAGTAGTGAATAAGTAACATTAACATGATATAAAATTTGGATTCTTATGATATAAAATTTGGATTCTGAAAAAAGTCAGGAGATGAAAAGTTACAGAAAAGCAAAATTGAATTGATTATGAGATTGAACAAACTTTAACATGCTCAATTTCATATAGTTAGGTTCTATCACAAATGTTGAAATTTATGGGTTAATAATGTTTCTTACAGATAAAACCATAATAAAAACACATGGGTTACCTTTGTTTTTTTGTTTGTTTGGTTTTTGAGTTGGAGTCTCACTCTGTCGCCCAGACTGGAGTGCAGTGGCTGATCCCGGCCACCGCAGCCTCACCTGCTGGGCTCCGGCGATCTTTCCGCCTCAGCCTTCCGAGTAGCCGAAATTACAGGCGCGCGTTACCATGCCCGGCTCATTTTGATTTATTGTAGAGATGAGGTCTCGCTGCCCAGGCGGGTCTCGAACCCGCGGGCTCAGGCAATCCAGTCACCTCAGCCTCCCAAAGGCGCAGGATGACAGGCTGAGCCACCGAGCCCGGCGGGTTACCTTTGGAAGATGTCAGAGAACCAACCTCTTTTGGAAACTGATAAATAAAGATGAATAAAATCAAACATTTATCTTTGTTCCTATGTAAGCTATATATCATGGAAATCAACTAATTCCCTATGGAGATATTCCAGCTAACAGATGAAGATGAATGACTGATTTCAGATACCACCATTTTGCAACCCCCAGTGAAATAATGGGTCTCCGTGGTAATCATCAATGACTGCTAAAATAACACAAAGAAAGATAACCTGACATGCTTCCTAATGCAGGATCACTTATGAAATACTACCAAAAGTGTCAAGCCTGAATTTCATCAAGTATCCTTATCCATCCACTATGGGGCAGAGAAACATGTTAAATGGTTTCAGGAAATGCAATCAGGAAGTGCCAGGCTGAAAAAGCACAAACATTTGACCTAATATCTTCTAAAGATAATTGAGAGGGGGTACTGGAAAGGAAGAGAGATTTAGATGTAGATAGGTAAGTAAGTGGGTAAATTGAACCTATATGTTAAAAGAGATTTGATAAACAAATTGTTAAGTTTTTTGAAACATTTGGGAAAATGTATAGGATTAGATATTTGTATCGAGACTATTTTTTATAATTTCAGGAAGGTAGTAATGGTATTGTGATTAATTTTTTTTTTTTCAATTTAAGAGTTGTGGGTTAGCCGGGCTCGGTGGCTCAGCCTGTAATCCCGTGCCTTTGGGAGGCTGAGGTGAGT